ATTGCTTGGTCTCTTTCCTCCTTCAGGTTGCTGTTTGAATGTCACTTCATCTGGCCATTCTGAGCACATTACACACAGTGATCTTGTGCCTGCCCCCTCCCCTTCTCCTACCTGTTTCTTTCCTCTACGTGGTTGCTCTTTCAGAGCATAGCTCACCATCTGACTTATTGACTGCGTTTCTCACTAAGAAATAGTATCCTGTAGTCGGAGCCTCCGTGTCTGTGGTTCACAACCATGTCCCTAGAATCCGGAATGATGCTTTAGCAATCTAGACACAACACATATTTGGGGACTGACTTTTTTTCCCCTGCTTTGTTTCTTTTAAAAAATTATTATTAAATACTTTTAATGGGGGCTCTTACATATCTTATCACAATCCATACATTCATCCATTGTGTCAAGCACACTTGTACACATGTTGCCATCATCATTTTCAAAGCATTTTCTTTCTACTTGAGCCCTTGATATCAGCTCCTCATTTCCCCCCCTCACTCCTCCACCCTCCCTTTCTCATGAACCCTTGATAAGTTATAGATTATTATTTTCATATGTTACATCATCCTCTGTCACTCCTCATGCACTTTTCTGTTGTTCGTCCCCCTGGGAGGGGGTTATATGTCGATCCTTGTGATCGATTCCTTCTTTCTCCCTCCTCCTTCCCCTTCCCCTCCTGGTATCTCTTGTCTTATTGTGGGTCCCAAGGGGTCTATCTGTCCTGGATTCCCTGTGTTGCAGGGTCTTATCTATAGCAGTGTACATGTTCTGGTCTAATCCAATTTGTAAGTTAAAATTGAGGTCATGATAGTGGTGGGGAGAAAGCATTAAAGAACTAGAGGGGAAAAAAAAAGAACTAGAGGAAAGTTGTATGTTTCATCGGTGCTATACTGGCAGACTGACTTTAACAAAAACCTCACAATGACACATAAATTATTTGGAATCATCCACAATTTATAAACCAAGGCGCTCTCTCAAAGCCATTTGATTGATACTCACTCATAGCGACCCTACAGGGCAGGGTAGAATTGCCTCTATGAATTTCTGAGACTGTAACTTAACTATGAAACTAGAAAGCCTCATCTTTCTCCTGAGGAGCACTGGTGGTTTTGAACCCAGACTTTTCAGATGGCAGGCCAATAAGTAACCACTGCACCACCAGGGCTCTGAGGCTCAGAGAGGTTAGATCACTTGCTCAAAGTCACGTATTTTGCTTGTGTAGAACCTTCCAACAGCTTTGCTATTACTCTGTTTCCCTCTTGAGCCTGACCTTCCCCCAGCATCCATACCTTAACTGCCTTATTATCTCTCCATCTTCCTTTCAACAAGCCTTCCCACAGAGTGTCAAAGTCCCTGGGGAAAAATGTGCCAGATTCCATGGGAGGTGTAAGGCAGTGCATATATTATCTGTGCAACTTACAAGTTCAAAAAAAATCTGTGAAAACCAGGTTTTACTTTTAACTCATTTGATGGCAAAACCTGGCCCGGACTGATAGGAAGCTAGTTCTAAATCCTTATTTCACCTGCTTATTTTATTTATTTTTGATTTGAGAAATTCTAAGTTTATTCCTTCAAGGGCTTACAGAAGGAAACAACCAGTGGACGGCTTCAAAAATCCAGTGAGAATCACACAAGTTATACACCCCCAAGTTTCCTGTCAGGTTGGAGTGGGGGTTAGCTTACAAGCCTATTTATTTATTTATAACTATTTTTATTAAATACTTTTATTGGGAGCTCTAACAGCTCTCATCACAATCCATACATTCATCCACGGTGTCAAGCACATTTGTACATATGTTGCCATCATCATTTTCAAAGCATTTTCTTTCTCTTGAGCCCTTGATATCAGCTCCTCGTTTTTTCCCCTCCCTCCCTGGCCTCCCTCCCTCATGACTCACCTGTTTATTTTAAATGCTTGTTTTGCTGCAGGAGTATTAACTGTATAATTACGGAGAACTGGCCTGACCCTGCTGCTGCAGGAGGGTCCTGTCACCTAGTGCTTTTCGGCGGCACATAACTTTTCTAACTTTTCAAAGATGTGACGTTGGAGGAATCCTGATCCTTGTCAGACCTCAAGGTCTTCTGATAAGAGGCTGCAAACCTCTATTAATGCTCTCCCAAGCGTCTGACATGTGAAATGACACCTGGCAAATGCTCCCCCCACCCACTCCCCCCTCCACTTCCCTGTTAACTAACATTTCTGAAAAAGGTCGCTTCAGGAACAAATCCAGTTTTAAGACCTGATTAAGATCAGGCCCAGCAGCCCACGTGAGATTCCATTCTGAAACAGAGGAAATGAGTAAATGTAACTGAGGCTCCCCTCCTGCTTCTCTGCCAGGCTCTGGGGCAATGCTCTTTCTTCCCTCGGCAAGAGACCAAACGGGCTTCTCTGAAGACATTTAACAGGTTGAAAGGGGGAAAAAGCCTATAGATACTTCCACTTGAGCTTCTACAAATAAAATGGACAGAACACGCTGTCTGTGAGTTGCACGACTTCATTGGACCTGCCCAGGCACATAGAGCTTTTCAGTCAGCTGTTTAGGGTGTTTCTTTCCAATTTGGCAAGACAGCAAGGATCACTAGACATCTGAGAAAAGTCCAAAGCCCAGAAGACAGGAAGCATGCTGACGTCAGTGAGCCAATCAAAGTCAGGTTAGACTTCAGGGAGGCGGAGCCACTTGGGACCCAGAGTGAATCTACACCAATCTCGTCATCGGTCTATGATGACATGGAGCTCAGTGTTTTATGGTTTCCTCACCTCATTCTAACAAGATAATCTGCTGTTCTAGCCTCGGGTGCTGAAGAACCAGGTGTGGAGGGTTCTGGGCTCGGAAACTCACAGAGACAGTTCTCCCGTGCCCTGTAGAGTTGCTATGAGTCTGTGGTGCCAGGCCCCTTGGCTCAGGTCCACTGATTTGCATGTATTTGTGTTGAAGCAGGCTTGGTAACTCCAACTCTCAGGCCTGGGAGGGATTGCAGGCGTGGCCTCCACCCTCTACCTGCTCTCTTTGTAAACCAACTTCCTCTGCCTCCTCAGGGTGCCTGCAGTCCCAGGCCTTGATCTTGTGTTTGATGCTTGCTTCCCAGGGTGCTGCCACTGCTGGTTCTGTTAGTTCTGTCTCACAGCTGATGGACATTGTTTTCTCTTATTTTTATTTCAATCATTAACATTTCCAGAGTCTCTGATTGGTCCGCCCCCTTCTTTATGGAATGAGTTGCCCATCAGTCAACGTTGTATCTATCTCTTTCCCATCAGGATTGGCCCAAGTGTATGAGTGGTGGTCAGGGCAAGTTGGATGACTTGCCTATTTCAGTAATATTGGAAGTCTATCGATAGGCCATTTCAAAAAGATTAAGAAAGCAGTGGTAAAAATCTAAGGACCGCTGGTGGCACTGGGGGTTATGTGTTGGGCTGGTAACAACAAGGGTTAAAACTTTATGCTCAGTTAAAAATGCTCCCCAGATGAATTAGAAAGTGAATTCACATCTCTAATAGTTTAAACAATATACTGTAGGTTAAAGGTTTGATGTATTTATTGATGGTAATCAGACATTACAAACCCATCTCTGATCTAAACATAAGATGTGGGACTGGAACTGGTGTGTGTTTTTTTTTTTTTTAACCCTTGCCTTTCTTACAAGTAATAAGGATTCAGGGATGGTGGTAGAGTTTACTTTGCTTAGTCTGCAACTCACTCTGACACTGCCTGACCCCAGCAGGACTGGGCCCCGGGGAAGGGATGCCTGCCTGATTTGGGTTCCTGAAAGGAGGTTGACTCCTTCAGGAGAGGGTGGGGTTTCTACCAGGGTCTCTGTAGTGGCTGGAGTGGGCAGAACCAGGGGACGCACCATCTTGGCTGTTTCACAAGCTTACTATCCCTCCGAGATCTTGTAGGTTCAGTTCTAGACTGCCACAAGAAAGCAACTAGCCAAAAAAGCAGGTCACGCAGATTTTTTGGTTTCCTAGTATATATAAAAATGATGCTTACCCTGCACTGTAGTCTATTAAGCGTGCAGTCCAAAAACCTCACTGCCATCAAGCTGGTTCTGAATCATCACCAACCTATAGGGCACAACAGAACTGCCCCTGTGGATTTCTGAGACTGTAACTCTTTATGAGACTAGAAAGCCTCATTTTTCTCCCATGGAGCGGCTGGTGGTTTCAAACTGCTGAACTTGTGTTTGGCAGCAACATGTATAATCACTAGGCCACCACCAGAGCTCTAGCAGGAGGAGGGCAAAGCTTTTCACATTGCCAATCAATGATCAGAAAGAACTCATGGAAGGCTGAATTTATGTGTCGTCAACCCAAGAAGACTTTAGAACACACCCTCTGTGAATTTCAATGAAAAGCCCCAAACAAAGCAAAACAAAAGTAACAAACCAAAGTCACTGCTGTTGAATCGTTTCTAGCTCACAATGATCTTATTGGGCAGAGCAGAACTGCCGTTTTGGGCGGCAGAAGCTGTACATCTTTCTGTTGGAACAGCTATTGGGTTTAAACTGCTGACCTGGCAGTTAGCAGCTCACCAGCACTCTTACAAATCAAGGGCTCAGAACTTAAGCTCTTCTGAGTGTTAGAATAATCACCCACTTAAGATCAAAAGGGCAGCATTTATCAAGGTAAGAAAGAGGCATGGAAACAGTGGTTGCCAGAGGAAGTGTGGGATCAGTGCTGGTGCACAGAGCGGACTGAAATGGGTGAGATGAAATAACATGTGTATGAATTGCTGAATGCCGCACTGAGGTCTGCTTTGCAAACCTTCACCTAATTCACAATAAAAAGTTAAAAGCCTATTTAAGCTGTGCCATAGAGACCCAAACTGAACCTCTGTTGCTGTGGACAGACATGGAGCTGATAAGACTTGAATGCTATGGGATTGCCACATACCTGTTAGTTTGTTAAAAGCCAACATGTGAATAGTGCAATAAAATGCGGAATGCCTGTATTATTAGCAGATGGGCCTCCAGGGCTTAGTCTATCCTTGTCTCCCCATTCTCTGCAGGCAGGCTGGCAGGCAGCTATGCTGTGAGCTGCGAGCCGTGAAGACCACTGGAGTCCAGCAGAAATGAACTAGCCAAATGAAGCCTGTCCCTAATCCTCATGCCTGGTCGCCATCTCGGAGCTGAGGTAAGACCCTCTGAATGACTAGCCTGCAGACACAGAGAAGGGGGCTGCTGGGAATTGCAGAAGACGCTGCGCTCAAAGGAATAGGGTTTCGGAAAGAAGGGGACGCTTTGGGTTATTTCAACCATCTTCTGAGACCTCAGTCCGTTTGTTGACAAGGCTGGCCACATGGGGTTCAAAGTTCGAATTTTGGGTGGAAATAGAACAAAGTAGCTATCTGTTTAGCATTTTTTACCTGTGCCATTCATGGACACGGGGACATTCTTCACACAGGGTAACCCTTCTCTCTCCATATAGTTTCATTCCTGTTAATGTAGACTTTCTGCCACTTAAATCGCTCATCTGTGTTTTGACGTTACTGTTGTCCACTTAATCTCATGACATAGAGATAATTCTTTATTCAATTTAAATTTAATTAGTTAATTAAATTTAAATTAATTAATTCTTTAAGAGCGCACAATGCTTTGAGGCAAACCTTCTTGATTAAATTATGGAACTCTTGCTTAGTTTAAAGATGACGTTGTGAGATTGTTTTGGTTCCAGGATTAAAAGTTGTTTCCGGCCATAGATTTGGGGGTTGCTCTAATCTCAGTGTATCTAGTAAGATCTGGTATGGCTAGTTTCCAATAAGAATTTGAAATTCTGTTCTACTTTTTTCCCTCCTTTTGATCAAAATCCATCTATTGGGGCCTTGATAAAAAAAAAACAAAACAATTTGGTAATTGGGCACGATCCATTTCCCCCTGGTTTCAGAGAAAAGCAAAGAGTAGCCCCTGGAGGCAATCTGACCTATAGCCCAGTTTCTTCTTAACCAAAGAGGCTTTTAATTTTAAAACAGGTCTTCTGGAATCTTGTCTGGGAATTGTATTTTCTCAGTAGCTGGTGTAATTGGAACTCCAAAGGGAGATACTTTAGCCTCCCAGGTAAGGGTGCAAAAGGGTTAGGTGAATGCTTACTTTGGGCACTCACACTGTATGTTGCAAGGGCATTTGAGCTCTTAGACACACACACACACACACACACACACACACACACACACACCAGGGAAAACAGAGTGCTTCATATTGCAAAACATTCCACTGAGCTCATAATTATCTAAATATTTTCTGATTAGAAAAGTAATATATGCTCATAAGACATTTGGAAAAAATTATTGATGTGGAAGAAAGCAAACCTTGTCTACAATCCTATGCCTTTTAGCCATCTTTCAGGTAGTTTTCTATTAAGGATTCTCTTAAGTGTCCACAGGATGTGCATTTCTGCTGCATGGAGGTAGGAGGTGAGGTCAAAAGAAATTTCAGGAGTCGGGAGAGCTTGGCCTCTGTGTGGAGACACTCTAGCACTGAAATTTAAACTGAATTCAGGAATTGTGTGAACTGGTTGTTAAAAATAGTAAAAACCATTAGCAATTGAAATCAGTCATGGTGGTTGTAGGAGGGGGCTTCAAAAAGTTCTTGGGAAATTTTGATTATAATTTTTAAAAAATCCCTTTAATTGTGAATTGGGTGAAAGTTCCTGCGAAAATGGCTCAGAGCCCAGATCTGAGCTCCTCTGGGCACATGAGGAAGAACTCAAAAGACCAAACTTGCCACCACTGAGTCAGTGCTGACTCGTCGGGACCCTGTAGGATGGGCAGAACCACCCCTGTGTATTTCCGAGACTGTATTTCTTTAAGGCAGTAGAAAGTCCCATCTTTCTCCCAGGAAGCGGCTGGTGGTTTTGAATTATCGACCCTGTGGTTGGTTAGTAGCCTTGTGCATAACTCTTATACTTCTGGGACTCCTTACAAAAAGGGAGAAAGAGAACCCAGCTTCTCACCACCTCAAGGCCACCTGCCATAAGGCCCAGGTCAAGCATGGTTCCACCCTCCATCCTTCTGAATCTACGCTGATAGCGACTGTTGACTTCCCCTGGACTCTACTTGTATGCTAGCTATGACAGGGACCTCACAGAATTCAGACCATAGTCATGAATCGGCAGGGGTGGGGGGTGGTTATTAGGGACGTTAACAGGTCATTACAAGCCAGGATGTGAAACCAGTCAGGATGCAGTCACTGGCTCACAGCAACACCTCTTCCCAGCCAGCAGCCAAGCCTCTCTCTGATCCTCAGCCTCTCCGCCTCTGACGCTTGGTCTCTGCCTCCATGGGCCAGGACTCCAGATTGTGGCTCTGCCTCATGGGCTCAGTCTCGCCGCTGCGCCTCTGTTCTGTTTCAGGGTCTCCTTGCCTCAGCCTGTGGACTCAACTTGGCTTCTCTTTGCTTTGTGCTTGGTCTCCACGGCTCAGGCTCTGGTGCCTGTGGGCTGGGCCGCTGCCTTTCAGACAGAGGTCTAGAACATGTTCACCAGTGGCTCTTCTTACAGTGGTCCAGGGGTTTCTTTCTTGGCTCCTGAGATGACTCTTAGAAACAGGGGAGAGGCTTTGGGGGTGGTGGGGTCTTTCATCTGACCATAATTCATTCACTGCTATCAAGTTGATTCTGACTCACAGCAACCCTATTGGACAGGCTCGAACTACCCTGTGGGTTTCAGAGACAGTAACTTTATGGGAGTAGAAAGCCTCACCTTTCTCTCAAAGAGTGGCTGATGGTTTCAAGCTGCCGACTTTGCAGTTAGCAGCCCCATGTGTAACCACTAGAACATCAGGGCTCCTTACCCCCAAGGAAACAAGGGGTAGTGACTTGGTTCACATCCTCTAATAAGATAGAGACTCAGGATATATTCCACCTCAGTCCTGCCCACTAGCATAACTGATAATTCTCATCAAAAAGGGTTATAACCACAGGCATGGAGGCTAGCATTTATAGCACATCACAAAAGGGATTATGGCTAGAAGGCCACATTAAATAATTTATGGGCATTTATAGAGGTCTAAATACAGGCATGTATATATGCAAATATATTTATATATGAGGATGGGGAAATAGTTCTATGTGCATATATTTATAGGTCTAGTATTACGGTAGCAGATGGACATTGGGCCTCTATTCAAGTACTCCCTCAATGCAAGAACTCTTTGTTCTATTAAACTGTCATTCCATGATGCGCACCTTCCCGACACGATCACTGAAGACAAAGCAGGTGCATAAGCAAATGTGGTCAACAAAGCTGATGGTGCCTGGCTATCAAAAGATAGTGTCTGGGCCTTAAAGGCTTGAAGATAAACAAGAGGCCATCTAGCTGAGAAGCAACAAAGCCCACGTGGAAGAAGCACACCAGCCTGTGTGATCATGAGGTGTCGATGGGATCAGGTATCGGACATCAAAGAACAAAAAATCATATCATTGTGGATGAGGGGGAGTGATGAGTGGAGACCCAAAGCCCATCTGTACGCAACTGGACATCCCCTTACAGAAGGGTCACAAGGAGATGAGTCAGTCAGGGTGCAGTATAGCACCGATGAAACATACAATTTTTCTCTAATTCTTTAATGCTTCCTTGCCCCCCACTATCATGGTCACAATTCTACCTTACAAATCTGACTAGACCAGAGGATGTACACTGGTACACATCAGAGCTGGAAACACAGGGAATCCAGGACAGATAAACCCCTCAGGACTAATAATGAGAGTAGTGATACCAGGACGGTAAGGGGAAGGTGGGGGGAGAAAGAGGGAACCCATCACAATGATCTACATACACCCCCCTCCCTTGGGGACGGACAACAGAAAAGTGTGTGAAGAGAGACACCAGACAGTGTAAGACATGACAAAATAATAGCAATTTATAAATGATCAAGGATTTGTGAGAGAGGAAGGGGGGTGGCGGAGGGAGGGGAAAAAGATGAGGAGCTGAAACCAAGGGCTCAAGTAGATAGAAAAGGTTTTGAGAATGATGATGGCAACAAATGTACAAATGTGTTTGATACAATGCATGTATGTATGTATTGTGATAAGAGTTGAACAGACTCCCAGTAAAATGATTTTTTAAAAAATGGACAATTTCTCAGTGCCATGATCTTTTAATTCCATTTTGCCGTGAACTTTTGGATGCCCCTGCATAAGTCACACCATCGTAATCGACAATTGCTGTCAACAGGGCTTGCCTTTGCTTTGGAGAGCGGGTGCACCAGTAAAGCACTGGTCCGGAACTTTTTTGATCTCCAACAGGCTATGAGGTATCGGGCAGGTCCCTTGTATCTTTCTATTTCCTCACCTTGAACAACAACATTCGTTGAATTAATGAGACTGAACTTTCCGTCTCCAGAGATGGCTGTGAGCTTTCCATCAGCTGTGCAGGGAGGCGTTGGCCATCGCAACCGGGAGGCTGCGCAGTGCCGCGCTGGCGGCATTGATTGAGAAACCTCTCTTGGTTTACTGGGGCGCAGACATTGTGGGCACTGAGGCATCTGCGAGTTACTGACGCCCTTTCCCAAGGGCAGATGCAGCCCTCCATTAACTGCCTGCCATCGGGGGCACATTTCCTTCCTGAGAAAGTCATGAAATCCTTCTGAGGAGTATGGAAAGGAAGCCCTCGCCCACGAGATGGGAGAACCGGGTCCCAATCAGAGCCTTGGACTCATCATCTCTATTGGGAGAGGGTGCCCTTCCTGCCAAGTGTGACATTTTAAACAAAAACCTCTTTCTTCCAGGCTTGGCCTTTGCAGAAGATTAAAGCTAATTAAATTAGCATAATGGAGCATAATGAAGCCTCTGCTTACCCCTCCACCCCCCACCCCGCCCCGCCTCCCCCTTCTTATGCTCTAAAGCATGAGTTAAGCACCGCTTTATCTTTCTAAAATTATAGGGTCCTAAGATTATGAAGGTGGAATGAACCATAGGGGCTTCTATTTTAAGAAGCCAGGTTGTACAATTGGTGATTATCGGCTCATGAGGCAAAAACACTTGACCTTCCGGAGGCAGGGAAGCCCTGGGTGGGGTGGGCCTGGCACACTGTCCCTGACCTGGGCGCCCTGGCTGAGAGCTGGGCAAGGATGTTATTTCTGCTCTTCTTGCCTTGTCCCCTGAATCTGCTGCCACAGCCCCGGGGACTCCAGGAAGGTG